GCTGCTGCTGCTGCTGTATCGAACGTTCAAGCGCAAGCCTCATCAACTTCAGGAGCAAGCAATAGTAATCAGGCAGCTGGCGCTATCAGCAGCTCACCGACCACTGCCGCCATCGACTCACCAACCACTTCAGCAATTCACATCAATGATAAAGTTCGCGATGTAAGTTAAGAAAGCCCGAACGCAACAGAGGAGAAACTTTTACCTCTCACGGCGGCTTGACTTCATTTGCCTATCCTCAGCATTTCAGATTCACGTAATAGCTGTCGTCTGTTTGTCAAGTTTCTGGGAAAAATTGAATGGTGACCTCAAATTGTGAGGGATTTTCAGCGTATTACAGTGAAAGCAATCAAAATTGAGTGGCGTATCCTGGTTGAGTTAATGGCGAATCGCGATGAGTTATTTCAGTAGTGCCTCTTGGCATCTAGAGATTGATATGCATCGTTTCCATCTTGTAGGTAGTGACATGTTCTCAGGCAGCCAAGTCATCCGAGCAAGTCACCGCACAGCTAGAATCTGCAGTTGCTGCAGCAGCCGCATCAGTGGAGGCAGCCGGCTCATCTGGTGGTCTATCGAATTCAAGGTACGTACATCCCCTAAGCAATCATCGAGCTAATATCGTCTTTTTAATACCGTAATATAATAAATTTCAAATGTTTAGCAACACAGTATTCATATGATACATGATGATAGTGATCATCATGTCAATCTCACAACAATAATAATAATTTTAACAATTACAAGAATTTGATGAGTTTCAGCTCAGTGGCTAGTCTTGAGACTTCAGCCGACGGCACAACAGATGCTGCAATGGCGCCGGCTCCAAAGAAGCCTAATCGTTGCCAAGTGTGCAAGAAACGTGTTGGTCTTACCGGTAGGTGTTCATGTTCCTGCTTAGTGATTGATATCGTTTCTCATCGCATTTATTTGACTCATTCGGATCCACTCGTCTCTAGTAATTTTTAGTGGTTGAACTGGCGATGCCATACAAATTAGCCGTTTCTCGTTTTGGAATAATTTGATGGAAACTGAGCTCTCAAATTACAGGTTTCGTATGTCGCTGCGGTGGCCTCTACTGTGGTGAACATAGATATGACTCAGCGCACGGGTGCTCTTTTGACTACAAAACAATGGAGAGGGAAGAGCTTCGCAAAAATAATCCTGTGATTGTATCCGAGAAGATTCAACGAATTTAATCAACCGACTGTTCATCAAGCAACGCAATAACACTTCAACAACAACAACAATTCAAAATCCAACATCACGACCATACAGAGAAGAATATTTGGAAGGAAAGCAGAAGAAGCAAAACATTTTCATTATTATTATCATTATGATATTATTCACTATCATTTTACTGTTCCCACTCGCGAATCCAACAACAACTAGAATTTGATCATTCATTTCATTTTTGAGTTTCAATCATTCGCCGATTCTAAACCCGTCCTCAATCCCAAATTCTTGAACTTTAATTCATATTGGTCATTTGATTCAAATGACTTTATTGGTTATTGATAGTTTTACGTAATGTCTATCCATCATTCCACCGTGTAGTTAAAGTTTATTTACTGAGAAATTCGAATGCTTCTGACTTTTATATGTCCAAATTTCTTGAAGTTTCTTCGTGAAAAATTTCTTTCTTCACTGTTATTATATCAAATTTCGCAGCCATTCAGTCATTCTGTAGCATAAAGCCTTCTGCTTGAACTGATTACGTTATCATCATTATTACTGATAATCTTCTTGGAAAGCTTTTCCTTCTCTTCTGTTCTCTTCTCTCAGTTCGGCCCGGCTCTCCCCCTACTCATCACAACCATCATTTTATAAGCTATGCTTTTATACGTCAACATTTCTCGTATAAGGTGTTTTTAAAGGTATTTGCGCGTGTGCATGTATGGTTTTATGATACGATATAATAAGTGTTTTGTGTGTGTTTCAAGTGATTCTTTTCCTTTTTGTCAGACAGAGTATATGTTTTGAATTCATTTTTCACAGTATTATTAGAATTCTGCATTCGATCATCTTCTTTCTGAATGTACAACAACACAACACAGTGACAACAACTGCGAGATTAATCAGTTTCGGTTGTAATCATGAGTTTCTTTGATATTTCTTGTGAGTTTCTTAATTTTGGTTCATTAGCAGTTTTTTTGAAAATTTTTTTGAAAACGATGATCTTCGTGATGAACTCGATTCATTTTCATGCAATATTATCACTGAATTATTATGATTATTATTGTATCACTGCTGTTGTAGTTGTTGTGTGTTCCATGCATGTATCATGTGTCACGCGATATATCACCCATACTGTTACTGTTACCGTTACATTAATACTACTTGTGTTATTCACACATCTTATTCCTTCCTGTACTGACTACTGTGCCCTTGAAACCCACCGAAGTTATTCTTCTTCTGCTTATTTTCTTCTCATCGTAATCATTAGCTTATGCTTTTGATTATAATTTTATCCTGTGATTATATGATACGTTATTTGAGACTACTTATTTAAGATGATTGAGTGATATGAGTTGATCTAAGAGTTCAGATGCTTCAATCGATTCGTTTATTTTGTGATGAGTTAGTTGAGTTGGGGTAGGATGAGATGAGATTTTAGTGATGATTTATAACTTCGGTTGACTTGTCGTGAAGTGACGTGAATCCCGGTATTTTGTGTATTTGATATATTACCGATCGACTGTTTTGTCGAAGTTTTCTCCCGTTCTTATATGATCGTTTTGAATGCCCCGTTTGATATCACCATCCTTCGTAGTACGTATTTTTTCTCGATTGATTGATTGATCGATTTATTGATTTTTTTGATCACTGTTCATCGATGATTGAATTTTATTCTTGGATAGCGAATTTTATTGTTCACAAATTTTATTCATTCACCATATAAGTTAGCTGCGTTCGGCTCGTTGGATCATCGCAGTGATCCATTCGCTTTTCGTTGCAGTTCATTAGTCCGTTTGAGTGTTTCATTGGATCAGTCTAATGGTAACGGGAAGGGTTGCGAACTACTACTAGGAAGAATTTGTGGATTCGTTCAAGATCACTGAAATGTTAGCTGGGTTTTGAGGTACTGCTGGTTGCTAGAAGCAAGTTCCGATGGGAACTTAGCTTGAGATCAGAACACAAGTCGATATGTCGATGGAAGAGTTTTATTGACTCGACTAGAGGCTGAGGTAATAGGGAGAGAGGGGGTCCGTGATTTAAAAGATTCCAGATTTTCTAGGTCCGAAAATC